TTATAAGTGGATTGTGGGACTGCGGGGCTTGGGGAACTTGGAGAGAAGCCCTCCAGCAACAGTAATTATCCATTTAAATCAAGATATTTGATTCCTTGCTCCTAAAGTTTCATTTGTTATATGTTCCATATATAATCCATTATCAGATATACAATTTATAAGTATTTCTCCTATTGTGTTGGTTGTGTCTTCATGCTAACAATTATATCCTTGGCACAGAAAAACCTTACCAGTGGAAAAGTGCTGCTGGCTCTTCTTAAGTTGTCCATAGCTTGCAGTGAATTGTCCATAACCTGGAAATAGTCAACAAAACATGATGAACTACCACTGGGATAATTTCTCATACATGATTTCCTTCTCAATATCATGGCTTATAAATCCATATAATCTGTCCCAGAATTTAAAATTTATACAGCAAAAAATAATACTAAAGTTCTGAAATATGATGTTGTTATTGAGAGCTCTCTTAGGGAGAAATCATTAAGTATTCTTACTATTTAGATTTTCAGAATTTTCCCTGGTATATGTCATCATAAAAGATTGTTCCTTTGACTTTATGACATCTTATTTTCTCTCAAGGAACTAATATTTTCATATTTAGATTCCTTTCCAACACCAATAGACAAACCTTACTTAATAGACAAATCTATAAAAATTTGTTAATATCTAAATACATATATATATATATATATATATATATATATATATATATATATATTCTCATCTCCCATCCACTACTGTCCATTGCCTATCCCTCACCCCCAGTTTACTCATAGAGATCTCATGTATTTCCTCTTCCAAGGGTGATCCATGTGTTGCTCTTAGGGTCCTCCTCCTTGTTAGCTAGCTTCTCTGGACCTGTGGGTTGTAATTTGGTTATCCTTTGCTTTACATCTAATATCCACTTATGAGTGAGTATGTACCATTTTTGTCTTTCTGAGTCTGGGTTACCTCTCTCTGGATGATATTTTCTAGTTCCATCCATTTGCCTGCAAATTTCATAATGTCATTTTTTACTGCTGAGTAGTAGTACTCCATTGTGTATATGTGTCACATTTCCTTTATGCATTCTTCGGTTGAGGGGAATCTAGGTTAGAGCTAGAACAGGGACAGAGTGGGAGAGCAAGGAAAGAGATACCATAATAGAGGGAGACATCATGGCAATAGGGACAAACAGGGTGCTAGAGAAGTTCTCAGGAATCGACAAGGATGACCCCATCTTAGACTACTAGCAATTGTGGAGAGGGTGCCTAAACTGGCCTACTCTGGTAATCAGATTGGTGAATACCCTAACTGTCATCATAGAGGCTTCATCCAGTAACCGATGACAACAGATGCAGAGATTCACAGCCAAGCATCAGGCCAAACTCCAGGAGCCCAGTTGACAAGAGAGAAGAGGGATTCTATGATCAAGAGGCATCAAGATCATGATGGGGAAATGTACAGAGATAACCAAACCAAACTAGTGGGAACTTGTGATCTGTGAATCAATAGCTGTGGAGCCTCCATGGGACTGGACTAGACCCTCTGGATAAGCAAAAGAGTTGTGTCGCTTGATCTGCATAAGGGGTTCCCTGGCAGTGGGATCAGGATCCATACCTGGTGCATGAGCAAAGTTTTTGGAGCCCAATGCCTATGATGGGACACCTCACACAGCCTTGGTGCAGGAGGAGGGGCTTGGATATGCCTCAACTGAATATACCAGGCTCTGCTGACTCCCCATGGAGGCCTTGCCTTAGAGGAGGTAGAAATGGAGGATGGGTTGTAGGTGGGAGGAGGGAGGAAAAGGGAATCTGTGTTTGGTATGAACAATGAATAGAAAATTTCTTAATAATAAAAAATAAAAATATATATTATAGTATTTAGTAAGAAACAAACCTGATAATACATTTGTTTGTAAACTATAGTTTGTAAAGTAAGTTTACATAATACATAGCACATAAGCTAGTTACATATTATAAATGATGTGAAAATAATAACAGAAGTACATGTGAATTTATGGAAAAGGTGGGGTAAAATAGTATTTGTGCCTGGCGGTGGTGGCACACGCCTTTAATCCCAGCACTCGGGAGGCAGATCCAGGAGGATCTCTGTGAGTTCGAGGCCAGCCTGGGCTACCAAGTGAGCTCCAGGAAAGGCGCAAAGCTACACAGAGAAACCCTGTCTCGAAAAAAAACAAAAAACAAAAAACAAAACAAAAAAAAAATAGTATTTGTATGAATTCAAAATGGCTTCCCACTCTTCTTGGTTCTTTCTATTTCTATGACTGTTAATTAATTCTTTAAATTCTCTCTCTATTCTTTTCCATTAAAATATAATTATCTCCCAATATCATTATTAGGATAAAATGTAATTATTCACCAAAATATCAATTTCAATACTTGATGACATGAGATATAGCATGATATGTTCAGTTTCTTACACAGAATATCCATTAGTACATTGCAGGCATAAAGGAAACAAATAGAAAGACTCATTCTTATCATATCAGGGTTTATAAGCAAGTTTTGGTGGTGGATGAAATGCTGTATGAATGTGTATCATTGACAGAAGCACAGCTACATCAAGGACTCCACTGCCTCAGCCCACGTTAATGTGGATGGCAAGGTTTCCCCAGATCAGGCTCAAGGGAATGTCAAGTAATTTTAAAAATAAAACATAATGTCAGTGCAAACCAGAGGTCAAATTAAAGAAAATGGAGAAGGAATCATCTCCTGATATAAGTGGTTTTTCCATTAATAACCTCCAGTCAGATAGACATTCCCTTTGATTGACAGGCCCAGTTAGAAATCCTCTAGTCAAACCTGCAGAGACAAGGCCTGGCTTACTGTTAAATACAAGCAGGGAAAATGCAAATTCTATGAAGTAAACCCTAAGAGGGATAGAAAGGAGACACATTTCTAAACCCAGGAATCAGGGAATGTTGAAAGAATTTTATAAAGCAACATTAATTCATTGGAAATGAAATATTAAAATAAGGGGAAAAAACTTTGTGAATCAGAAAGCTTTTGAGTATTTTGTAAAGCATTTGTAATGGGCTAAATTTTAAAATATATTTAGTTAGTGTTTCTCAATAAGCATCTATATGTTGTTTCAATCTGACTACAGAGCTGAATTGAAAAGGCAAAATCTGAAAATGAAGCACTAACCAGATGCGAAGTAAAATTAGGGAAGGTAAAAATGAAATAATGTAAGTCAGAATGTCAGAAGCAAAAAACTAATGATGATTGGAGAGGGAATCAAATTTGCAAATATATATGGAAGAATAATAAGAAGAAATTTTAAAAAAAAATCAAAAATCTCAACTGGAATACTTGTAAAAAGTCCTTTTAACTATTGAAAAATTTTACAATGGGCCCGTTATAACAATACTGATAGAAAAACTTGGCCAGAGTAAAATGTAATGGCAGCAGTTACATATCCCCACCGATGTGTATGTGTAAGAGTTTTTATTTGTTGTGCTGATGCATATCGCGCTACTTTCCCCCATAAGTTTCAAAGTTAATTATTTTAAATAGAATACAAATGTATTTGAAACATGTTGATGGAACTGGAAAGCATTATTCTCAGAATCCAAGTAAGGCACGAGATAGTCAAATACCCACAGTCTTACTGCTCTGTAGAAACCAGTAGATAACCAGTAAAAAGACAAGATGAAATAGTGGTCATTTTAGATGGAAAGGAGAG